AGTTATGAGATCCACGATTATATGGATTTTGAATATATGTTTGTGAGCCCCAACTAATAAGTTGACAATTTAGAGTTTTACCAAACAAGATCATTGAGGAACCAGCTAGCACAGGTAATTTATTATTAAAAATAATTTACAATTCAAGTAAACCCCACACGTAACCTCTAGGAACAACCTGCTCCTCTCTATAATGCTCTTCTCGCAATTCAAAGACCCGTCTCTCTCTCTCTTCCCTTCTTCGTAAACAAGCTCTCCCTCTCTATACTTGTATTCGATGTCCAAAATATAAATGAGTGAAGCCTCTTATATATCCAAACACAGAATCAGAAAAAAGAAATTTCAAACAAAGATTTAACATTTGCAAGACTTTAGCATTTGAGCTATGTACGGACAAAATTTTCGTTGTAAACCATTGTCTAATAAAATTTAGTTCAGGTGAAAAATACTTCATATTGTCCCCAAATGAATAAATGTCAACTGCAAAGGGAGCTAAGGGATGATTTGCAATATTGTTTACGAGAATTTTACTTTAAATCAAATAAACCAGAGCACACTACTCCGAGTTTTGAATGCAGTTTTAACATAAAATTTTTAAGTGAACAGATAATAATCTCTTCAGTGAAAAAAGTTAGCAAAATAATAATCTTGTACAAAAATATATCTTCAGTTAGAGCCAAAAAACCAGAAATCACATAAATTTCCTTTTTTTTTTTAACAAGTTTAAGCTCTGAAAAATGTAATGCCACAAAATTTTTATGTCTCTCTCCATCGATCACCAAAATCAAATAGAAAAACATACCCCATAGAGCAAACCCCAACTTAATCCACGAGATTTTCAACCTGTCTTATTCCCAAAAAATAATAATAATAAAACAACACAAAATGTTTAGAAATAGAAAGACGGATAATAACAAATGTGAAGGGGGTTTAACCACTTAACCAAAAATGCCATAAGTGGATCAATGACAAGACGATTAATCACTTAAACACCAATTGATCAAACCATGAATAGTCTGCCAATAAGATTATCAAACCGACAAGTGCACTACAAAAGCATAAGCAAATGGAATAGTAACTTAATAATTCACATGAATTACAAAAAATTGGCAATAATCCTTGAAACATATTGAATTCCAAGCTTTGACAATAACATTTCATCACAAGGCAAAACTTCTAATTTTTTCTATTATTTTTCACGAAACAGAATAAAGTGCAAACTAGTACTTGAAGTTGGAGCTGCTTGAGGTATTCAATTGCTTCATCGAGCATTGAAGCCTTGTTCGTCTAACATAATTGCAAGATATAAACATTTGAAAATAACAAAGTAAACCCCATTAGATTTAATGAAATCACATTATAACGATTCACAAAAGAGGAAAATAAAACAATTTGTGGTTTCTACCTTGTTTGAATTGGGAATTAGATTTTGCAACGACTTTATTTTTTCATTAATTTTGCTCCTCCTCCTCTGCCAAATGCATCCCATAATATCAAAACACAAAATTCATTACAGGAATATATACATACAAACTCCAAAATGAAACTTAAAAGGAAAAAAAAAAGTAAAACTACAAATTTCTGTCTATAAAAAAGAACATTTTCAGACAAATTATGCACTTCACCTGCTCGAGTTCTCTTCGATGGGTTCCAGCGTGGTGTTGACTTTGGCAATGCCTCTTCTACCAAGGCTTCAATAGCATCATACATATGATAACTATGAAATTAAACTCTACAAAGAAAAACAAATATAAATGTACACGAAAACATCAATGGATGCAAAAATTTATGCTAACAAACGTAATTGTAACATTGTACCAACTCCCACAACCCACAGGCTCTCAGAAAGCCATTATCCAAATCATTCACCAGAAAAATAAGCTTCAACGAAAATTTTTTTAACATATAAAATTAATTATTGAAGATAAATTTAAATTAAATGTGAAGATATATTTAATACATTTGGCACCTGCAAATTATGTCAAACACATTAAAATTGCACCACTACAATATCTAAAATTCTTATATTTCTTACAATAGAGATGTGTACCAATAAACCGTAAACCTCCAATAAGATATGAGTCATTGTTTATGTCATTATACTAAATTACTAATCTTAATCTCAAAGTAAAGAATTGTTATTAATAAATAATACAAACATGTTCAAGTTTTATCTAGAGTATCAACAATAAATTATCAAAAAGCCCTCTTTGCTTTGAGTTTGAGTTACAATACTTGATTGAAACGTGGAAAACAAATCAAAACTCAATTCATTGAATCCATAAAATACATAATATTGTTTTCATAGAAGTAAGTTTGTCTAATTGCCATACACATTCTCCAATTATAAGTAGTGCAACAACTATATAACGATTTTGTTTTTTTGGCCATTTTTGATTCTGTCATTCTGTAATCTGTGTCAATAACAAAAATTTAAAATCCTAAAGCTAAACCACAGTAGCAAAACTCCAATTCCAATTAATGCTACTGATATTGTAAAAGTACCTCATCTTCTCTATAGAAAGCAGAATCCTTGATGTCAAATGAAAAGACATAACCTCAAAATACTCCAAATTTTGAAATCCAAATGAAGAGTCAATTTCCTGAGCTGAAAAGGGTTAGGAATATTGAACTAAATCATTTATAAAGGTCAAAGATAAAAAAAAATAGATAAATAAAATTAGTTCTTGTGTTTTTGTCTTACTGAACGACAACAAAAATGAAGTAGAAACTTGAGAGGAAGCCCCATCTTCCGAGGAAAATGTTTAAAAGAAAAAAAAAATCACATTCTGAACTAGAGTTTCTATGTATTTCAGAAAAAAAACATTTAAGATCCAAACAAGCCAAGACTCCAACTTTGTTCCTCAAATTACAGAACTTGCAAAACTTGGAGTTAACTGATTTTGTGAGAATCAGATTCATGTAATGGCTTCAAAAGGAAGAGAAATGGAATCATTACATCACATTCTAGCCTTTCCACAAGAATTTCAAGTCAAATCTTCACCACTTATCTCCTATCTCTAATTCCCACCCTTTGAATTGAAACCAAAGAAAAATACCCAAATAAAAAAAAAAAAAATTCATCGCCAAGCAGTTTCTTTATAAAACTAGAAATTGGATACTGCATTTTGGTTAGAATTTTCATAATGGTTTTCGAAACTTCAATAAAATAGCCCTAATTTAGCCCACTTTACTTAAGAAATTGTTGGATGCAAAAAAAGAGAAAGAATACTGAAATCTAAATGCATATTACATAGAAATTAGATTATATACCGGTAGGGGCAGGACTAGGCAGGCAGTGACGCGGATGGCGAGTCGACGATGGCAAGCTTAGACTAGAAAAAGAAGTGGACTTTCGACCTTCTTGGATCTTCACTATTGGAAGAGTCGAATGCACCAGCACAGAGAGAGGAAGAGAAGAGAAGAATATGAATAAGAGTATAAAAAATGGGGCAGATTTTTGTACAAATTTTTCCATTGGTATTGGGTCTAATTTCCCCCCTTTTTTTTTCAAATTCACGGGACATGTTTTTGTACAATTTCTTCCATTTGGTCAAACTCATTTAATCTTGGTACAATTTCTTCCATTGGTCAAATCTCATTTAATTAGGACATGTAGGGTATTTGAAATTATCTAGAGGGACAAATATGTCTAAAATTGACATTCATGCAATGTCTAAAAAAAGTGAAATTTTTGTAAATACAAAGCAAAAAATTGACTATTTTGGTAATTTCCACTATTAATAATTTAAACAGGAATTTCATTTCTCTAGGTTGTAGAGTAACATTCTTCTCTCTTTTGGTTATTGACGAAATAATAGTTAACTTATCAGGAAACTAAAATTCTATCATAAATATGTATCTCGGTTAGTAAATCTACAAGTGACTTTTTTCCCGATATAAAGAGTTAACTTGGAGTTTTTCCAGTTCCTGTCAAAATTAATGTCCCCAGATATACTTTGAGAAATTGGGGCGATCTTGAGCATCCCTCAACCTTTCATAGTAAGAACAAAGAGGTTGTCTCAGGTCATTCGGATTAGTCATAATAATTTCAAGTAACTGATGTAGCTGCTCAGTCAAGATGAAGTTGTAAGCGTTGGCCTTGAATTAAAAAACCCATTACAACAAACACGGTAAAGATTCAAAAAATACCGTAGCATAACTTGAGAAATCGCTGGGCGAATAGGGGCAGATCCAAGATTAGGTTATAAAATTTCAAGCCGGGCAAAAAAAAAAAAAAATTACACGTAAAAAACTGTTTTTACAAAAAAATAAAAAAAAAGCTTTACAAAAAAAATTCTTAGGTCTTGGTCGCGATTACAGCCCAGCCCAGCCCAGCCCAGCCCAAACCCCCTACATCCGCCCCTGTGGGCGAAGGTAGCTTGCATAAAGGAATTCAATTTCTTGTCTATTTCTGGAATTAAGGTTTAAAATGTTGAATGTATCTCAATGATTTTGGAATTTTGGAGTGAGCTTCAAGAGAAATTGAATTTGGAAAATTTCTGGATTTAAAGAAATTTGGGAGGTCTTAATCAATTGGAAAGAGATGCGTTTGAGGGGTTAAATTTTCACAAAGGCGCATTTGACAGGCTGAGTCGGCAATTAACATCACACTTGGAGAGATTTAACCTGTTAGCTCAACTTTCTGTCAGTCATGTCAGTACGTATACTAACAGATTTCAACAAATGAGTAATGGGCCGTAACGGACTGAAGTTCAGTGACTATTGGGATAATTTTAAAAGTTTGGTGACTAAGTCGTGACATGATGCAAAGTCCGGTAGCCGATGAAACATTTAAGTCAATTCAGTTTAAGTCCCCCGTTTGACCCCATTTTTTAGAAATGAAAATAAGTAAAATAGTGTTTTTTTGAAAAATGAATAGATGAAAGAGAAGGAAAAAATTTTGATTTACGTATTATATTATTTTATAAAAAATTGTGTGGTTAAAAATAGGAAAGTAAAAAATGAAATGTAATATAATGAAATTTAATGAAAACCAAACGGGGCTGAGAATAAAAAGGTTCGACGGAGTATAAAAAGGAGAGAATCTAAAAAGGATTACTTGCCCTAAAAGCATTTCTTAGCCATTTGTTGACCACTGTTGACTGTACAACACATAGCAACTCCACAAAGCGCACTACTCCGTTGCTTGTCGGCTGCTGTACCGTGTTTCGCCGGCGAGGATTTGGAAGCCATGGCGGAAGAAGCCGTATTAGGTTATCTAGAGAAGAACGAGGAGATATCGGATTCGGGAAAATTCGCCGATGAAAAGGGAATCAGTCACGATGAGATCGTCAATGTCATCAAGAGCCTCAACGGTTTCCAACTTGTGGACGCGCAAGTCAGTATAAACGTTATTTTCAGATTGAAATTCTTATTTTTTGCAATATTATTTTTTCATATAAAAATTATTATATTAAAGGCATATGAAGGAATTACTACTGTCAGAGAGTTTTTACTACCTGTTTACAGTCAATTTGTTGTACAATATATATTGAAACGTCTGGAATATTTGATCTGAAGGATGGGGAAATCGAGAGAAGAAAGATGAAGATACCTGATTTTTCTTGTAAATTGAAATAGTACTAAGTGCTAAAATGCTGTTCAAGGATATCTATTTTAGCTTCGTTTTTATTCGATATGAATTGTTAGCCTGCAACTTTGAATTTGTTGATTCGTTTGAACCCAGATTTCTTGTTTTGTTAAAGTGTATTCTGTTGTTCCAATCTGTAAAAGCAACTGACTTGGTTGATGAATAATGCTGCATGGACATTGCGTAGGACATTAAGAGGGAAAGATGGGGGCTCACCAAGGAGGGGGAAACGTATGCCGGGGCAGGATCTCCTGAAGTCCAACTCTATTTAGCTATACCACCAGAGGGTACAACACGGGAAGAGTTGCAGGTCATTCCATCTTGACTTTCCTGGTTTCTGGATTCTTAACATGATTATGATATGAGATTTCTTATTGTGTATTCTTACAATTATTGCTTGCCATTATAACCTGCTGGCTGTAGTCAGGTAATGGTTTATATAAGAAGATAGAATGAAATACTGGGTGCCCCCATCCTTACTGGCCACCAATCCAATTTCCTTATGGCATTACCACCAGGATCTAAAACCTCTAATTTTTAACTGCCATAAAAAGGGACTGGGCTAGGTAATTCAGTGCGGCTGAATTTCCAGTTGGAGTCACTGGTAGGTGGGCTAGGTCGCATGGGTCGGTTTTGAGCACCACCCAAAACCAAAACCAATCAAGCTGGTTTGGATAAATTATACCGGAATGCCATTTTTTGGAGTATGTGGGTGGAGAATAGGGAGGATATTGGGAAATTAGGACCATGGTTTAAGCTAGTTCCTGAGTTTCAAAGTAAATTAAAGGACTTGGGCTTAACGGCCTGGGATTAGGATTTAAAAGTTATTCAGGTGCATATTAGTTTTTTGAAAAAGCCCAAAACTTAAAAAAAATAAAAATAAATAAATAAATAAAATAAGCGGTATTCCCCTGGGCCAGATGCCTGCACTGGACTTAAGGTTGCTATGTCCCCGGCCATAAAAAAATTATGACAATTGCTCCTCGGTCTGTTCCACCCTGATCCATGATGACACCATCAGCTGTCACACCCTCAATATTAACAATCTCTCCCCATCTTTCTGATGCTGCTTGTCCTTGGTTATAAATGAATATGATTGAGTTCAACAGTAGAAATTTCAGAAAACTGCTTCACCTTGGTGTGACTTCGGCAGTGCACACGTCCTTTCCCAGATTTATTGTTTTTTTTTTTTTGGAAATTCCATAGTAAACTGAAGGAACAGCCTGCTTTTATAATATGTGCTGCAATTATTTTTGTGACGTCTGCAAGTGCATATGAGTTTTGGTTTGTTTGATAGTTTATTTGTGTGCTAATTGATTCAAGTTCAACATTTGTAAAACTAAAAATTGTTTTTGCTCAATCGAACATGTTCTTCAAAATACCATCAACTACCATATACCTTGGGATGTATCAGGTTCCATTGTACACATTAAAACATTCCTTTTTCGATTTTTTATTCTTTTCATTGAGTCATGGTTAGCTAGTCAATAGTATCTATATGCTGTACAATATTTGGAAGACATGCTGATGAATATTAATTTTCTGGACACAGAAAAAGTTGGACCCCTCAATTTTCAAAATAGGTTGCCAGCAGGCCATAAAGAACAAATGGATAGAGATGGGTAAATCACAGGTGTCCAGGAAGGTAATGCCCCCTGAAAATATGAGCCTTGAAATTTTTTATGTGAAAAATTTGTTTGTTAAGCAATCTTATACTCGTAAAACTTCATATGACGTGATATTTGTAGCTTTTTAACTGAAAAAAGGTTAGGATGCTACTATGTATGGGATGCGGTTTTATTTGAAAAAGAGCATCATTTTTTATTTACTAGGAGCCTAATTATCTTGCCTGAGTGCACGATCATAAAAAATTATATGATATGTATGTTTGAGCACCATTTTTTGGGAAGTGTTTTGTAATAGTGATTTTTTTGGAGAATGTGTTGTTAAAAAATAGGGAAAAGTTTTTGGTTTGCGTTTAAAATTATTTTTTAGGAGAATGTGTGGTTTAAAATGAGTTTTGGGAAAAATAGGCTCAAACACTGGCGTATTTTTTTTTTTTTTTTGGTTCCCTAAAAATCTTTCAGATTCTCAAGCTACTGTGTCTATTCAACTGAGTGTTCATTAATTCTTGTTCCACTCATTCTTCAATTCTACCCATGTGCCATTAGTACTTTTGGCTTTGTCAAGATAAGTTTAAAGATATATATCAGGAGTGTTATTTTCACAAGGACATTCATTATGAAACCAATTGAAGAAAGGGAAAGATTTAGGCTGTGAATTGAGCGAGGTTGAGTGAATTAAAAAAAAAATAATAATAATAAATAAATAAATAAAAATTAGTCCATTTCCCACCTTTTATGGAAAGAAAGCTATTTCTCCCATCAATTTCATCAAATGGAGATGTTGTGCAAACATTTTTTTTTCCAGTAATTGAAGATTTCAATACATGATTAAGTTACAAACAAGGTTTAACTTTAAATTTTGACTTAGGTTCCTTCCTCTTTGTCCCTCCAACCAAACAATGGAAATCTATTTGCTTTTTCGTTTTTCTCTAACCATTCTTTTTCGTCTTTCGTCATACTAAACTCACCTTATGCTTACCTGTGCTTTAGGAAATCTGGAACCATTACCTATGTTTTCTTTTTTATTTATCCGTTAATCGTCAATATGCTGGATGGTCACAGATTAGACATGAACATTTACTTCAGTTGGATAGCTGTCTGACTGTATCATCATTTTGTCAATAAATGTCTAACCTCTTTGAGAATTTTAGGCTTTATGTTAATTTGTGATTTGCAGACTTCATTACTTTCATTGAGATGCCTTTTATTACTGCTTAATCTATTCATTTTCATGTCAAAATCAATCTATATTTTGTACGAGTATACGCCGTTTAGTACAGCTTAATCAATTCATTATCATGTCAAAGTCAATCTATATTGCGTACGAGTGGCCTCTGAATATTTGGTTGCTTATTTTGCTGATTTTATTAATGTGGCGGGACAATTCATGTCACGTGCATAAAAAGCTGTAGAAATAGATATATATATTTCTGTGATAGTGGGGATTATTTTATATTTTTCAAAATAATAATGCTAGTCATACAGGGCTATTCTTATTTTAGTCATTTGATGTAGGTACAACATGTTGATGACAGGGTGAGAGATTTGCTCATGCAGATTCAAAACGGGGAGGTGCATAATAATTTTTGAATAAATAGCTTTTCATCTATTTTCTCTTTTTCCATATATACGTACATACTTGTGCATGTGTGTATATGACCATCAGCTTATCTTTTTGGAAAATCCAATACTTAAATAATAATGTCGAAAATAACTGGAGAAGTTATTCTATTTTTTTAGACAGGGCCAATCATTAGGTCCCAACAGTGGGGCAAATGGAATCCAATACCAATGTTTTGGAAACCGGACTGGACCAACCGGTTCAACCGAGAACCGGTCTCAAATCCAGTCCGGTCCTAATATATATATGTTTATTCTTCATTCTTTCTGAAGTTTCGATAGAAAGATTCCTCTACCAATGTAGTCCACTCCATTTGTTAGATTATTAACCGTAAATGAAAAAACCGGTAAATAACCCGTTGAATTGGCCATTTTAACCGGAAACCGGAAAATTGGTCACGGTTTTTACCAGTTAACATGGGTTTTTTATTTTTCAAAAATAAAAAATTACTTTGATAAATGGGCTCAAGCATTGGCAAGCGCAATTTTACCTACCTTCCAATCCAAGTGTTGTTTTTAAAAGAGAATGGTCATATAAAGTTTTTTTCAACTTTCGATGTGGGATAAGTTGTGTAACCTTTTGCAATTTATATATTTAATAATTGTTCACTTCTTTCTTTTTATGAAACAAATTTTGGCCTCCCAAAGCACAAATAATTTCAATATGAACAAAGCAAATTATTTTAACCACATTAATTGTTAGTTTTTGATGTTTTAAAAAAAATTATATGATGATAAATCTAATTGGCAAATATTCATTTATATTTACTTGGATTTTGTTCTTCCCTTGTATATTTCTTCACAAACTAGCAAAGAAAGATATTCTTCAAAAGTTTTCAGCTAGGCTTATACTTGCAAAACTCATGGTGTGGTGTTGTTATGTGTGTATGTGCTTTCTAATTGTGTGTTAAACAGAGCACCATTTAAGCTAGCCAATTTTTCTTTCAAGCTCTATTTGCTTTGTGCTATAAGAGATAAAAGATCTAAAACACAATTTAGATTTATGCATCTCTCCTTTATGGCCGTCTGATACTTCAATTCACAACTGATACAATTCTTATGTTGCAGGCAGTCAATGCAGAGGACATTGATGCTCTCAAAAAAAGAAAGCTTATTTCTCCATTGTAAATTTTTGTATTTGTTTTTTTGTTCCCCATTCATTTTCTCTTAAATGGATCTTCTAATTCTCTAATTTAGCCATATCACTTCTAGACATGTTTTTGATTGTCTATTTGCTTCTTCAAGGATATGGAAAGGCTATTCAATTAAAAAGGGTCCTAAGTATGCTCCAAAAAGGAAAAAGGTGGCTACTGATCTAACTCGAGAGAATCTTCTAAGGTAATTAAAGTTTGATCAACATGCTTGGATGGTACTGTTAGATAAGCACATCATATTACAAATAGAAAGAATAAACAGTTGTTCATGTCTACATGGTTTTTTATGTTGCAATTTGTGCCATGAACTCAAATCCTCCTTTTTGTTTCTTTCTTATGTGTACGTGTGTAATGTTATAGGTTTTTTGTAATAGAATTTTGCTTTTTTCTAGGATTTTCTGCTTAATTCATTGCTTCTTGTTTGGTAAAAAAGTACTAGTTGTTGCCCAAAAGAATCTAATTCATGCTCAATATGTTTACTCAACACTATAATTAAGGATAATTTTTAGGATTAAATTGCATCTGTAAGTGGAAGATCTAAAATGATATATTCTGATCTTTGTAATGTTTAATAGCATGAAAGACTTTAATGTCTAATGTTATATTCCCCCTGTTTTTGTTTAAAGGGGAGATTGGAGGGAGCTAGAGTTTAAAGAGTACAACTTCCTTGCGAAGGGCCAGCCAACCGAAGGTGGCTGTTTGCATCCATTACTCAAGGCATGGTTTATTATTAGCTCTTCTTTTGTTTAATCTTCACTTCATTGGTATTCTGTTCTGCTCTTTGTTTTTCTATAATTGAAATCGATGTTTAAAAGTTGCAAAGTGAATCAAATTGTACTGCAGTTTACATTCTTCAAATCAAAAATTGTTTACTAAGTCATGGGAAAAAGTTAGCAAGGATCTTCTTTAAACTTAATGATGAGCATTAAATTATTTGTTCCCACGCATTTGCTTCAATAAAGATTCAGGTTTTTCAGTGCATTCACGTTCATTGTTACTGTTTCTTTTTTCCTGAAAACTGCATACCATCTTACAGTTTCAAGACACCTGATTGACTTTTAGTATCATTTGTACTGCAGTTTACATTTTTCAAAGCAAAATTTGTATACTAAGTCATGGGAAAAAGACCGTTAATCATAATGATGAGCATTAAATTATTTGTTCTCACACATTTGCTTCAATAAAGATTCAGGTTTTTTAACCCATTTATGTTCACTGTAATTGTTTCTTTTTCTTAAAGACTGCAAACTATCTTGCAACTAGCAAGATGCCTGATCGACGTTTAGTATCATTTGAATTCTCTACTTTTTCATCATTATTCACATTCCTCTAAGGTAGATTGTTTGATTTTGTTGCAGGTGCGGCGTCAAATGCAGATGATATTTCTTCAGATGGGGTGAGGATTTTTTCGTTTTTGGTCTTTTGACTTACCAAATCCTCCTGTAATTGTCATAACTGCTGATTTGCCATTCCTTGTGTGCAGGTTTGAAGAGATGCCGACTAACAATTTTATTGAAAGCAGGTAATCTGTCTTGAATGCTGATTTAGTGTAAAATTCCCAGCCATGCCTTTAGGTAATACCTACAATTGCTAAAAAGAGACCTTGGTCGCTATAGAATGCACAAGAAATTAGTCCCTCAACGACTGTAGAAGATGAGCACAAGTAAAGATGACACATCTTCAACTGACAATGGGTCTCCATCTCCTCTCTCTCCCAAAAGTCTTCTACCCTCCTAACATTATTTTTCCTCTCGATCAAAATAGAAAAGAAAAGAAAAAAAGCCCCCCCCCCCCCCCCCCCCCCCCCCCCCCCCCCCGCCCCCCCCCCC